TACAGTGAACTATGAGTACTTTCCCTTGGCTGGCTTTCTTTTTTTTTTTTTTTTCAGTGTGCTCTGCCTTTTTTATTTGCTACCTTTTATATGAGATTGAGATGTATTCCAAACTCAGCTCTTCAGCATCTAAAAATTAATTTGAAGATGTTCAGGTGTTCCATAGACTTGACCTTCCCAACACCTCTCTTACCCTTGCCATGCTCCAGTCTCCATTTGCCGTGGCTGCATGGTGCACAGCTAACAGCAGGATCTGTCCTCACAACCACACCAGATTCTCCTTACCTCCGTACCATGATGGCAGTCCATGGCCTGTATCCTTTGCCCTCATCTCTTGACTTAGTCTTTGCTTGGTAAATTATTTCTCCCAGCAGATTCTAGAAGCAGTATGTGAATGACAATTGGCTGAGAAAAAAATGTTATTTTTTAAAGAATTTTTGAACATTATAAGAAGCTTCTACCTTCTGAGTTGAGGCAGAGAAATAAGAAGCTTTTTTCTTACAGAACACTGATGTTTATCAGTCTGTTCTTCCTCTACCTCCTAAGGGCTGGGATTAGATTTTTATGCCTCTCTGCCAAGTTGATGTGCTTCTGGGGATCAAACTCTGAGCTTTGTGACCTCTGAGCAGTCACTTTACCAACTGAGCCCCACCGCCAGTTCCTAACTTCTGGTTAATACTTAGCTTTATTACGTGCTCTGAGAATGAAATTCTGTATGTGTCTGTGTGACTGATCTTGTAATTACCTTGCTCTATCCTTTCTCACTAATTTCTGTGAGCTTAATCTATCAACTACTGAGACAGAACTTTTATGAGATTCTGTCCATGTATATGTTATATACTGAGGTTGTGTTTTGAAGTATTTACATGAACTAAATTGTTATGGCTTCCAGGTGAATTATTACATTATGCATTGATCATCACACAGTAATGAGATACACATAGCTTTAGCAGTTTTCTTCTACTCAACATTACATGAATATATTACTCCCCCCCACTCTCATACCTCAGTCTCTTTGTTTTATTTACATATATTAATTTTATGTAGTGGGGTACACTATATTTCAAAATATGAATGCAGCATGCATTGATCATATCCATTCACTTTTCTTCCACCACCTCCAGTCTCTTGTAGGTACTAGTCTGTTTTCAAGAAGGCTTCTTAAGTGTACATGTATAAAGAACAATATACAACACTTTCTTTGATACATATGGTTTTTTCACTTAACACAGTGTCCTCTGGCTCCTTCCATTTTGTTATAAATTATAGGACTCATTCTTTCTAGCTATATAAATATGCACATGTATACACACACATGCATACACCACTTTTTAAATTAAATGTTTATGAGCATGTAGACTGATTCTATATACTTTGTTTTTTGTTGTTTGTTTTTAAGACAGGGTTTCTCTTTGTAGCCCTGATTGTTCTGGAACTCACTCTGTAGATCAGGCTGGTCTTGAATTCAAAAATCTGCCTGCCTCTGACTCCCCAGGGCTGTGACCAAACTTGTGTGCCACTATGCTCAACTCGATTCTATATCTTAAGCATCCACCAAAATTCCAAAATAAAAATGGATGTGTAGATCTATTCTTTGAATTAATGATTCATATTCTCTTATACTAGCTGTATCTAAGTAGTTCTATTTTTTATTTTAAGAAAATTCCATACTGTTTTCCATAGTGACTGTACCATTTACATTCTCAACAATGGGTTATAAGGCTTCCTTTTTTCCCCACAACCTCACCAGCATTTGATTCTTGTTGTTGTTGTTGTTGTTTGTAATAGCCATTCCAACTGGGATCACATATCATGGTTTTGATTTTCATTTCCCTGATGGCTATGTGTATATACATATATATATATATATATATATATATATATATATATATATATATATATACAATCGTATTTTTTCTTTCATATCATTGGCCCATCTACAAACTCTGTTAGGGTGAGATTTCTGAGGTCATTGCAAGTTCTGGATATTAAGCGTCTGTCAGACGGACAGCCATGAAGTCTTTTCTCCTGCAGCTGTCTCTTTGCTCCCTTGATTTACTAGCTTTTGATCTTCTCAACTTTAGTCTAACTTTAACTGCTAAGACTCATACCTTTTCATGGTGTTACTCTAGGTGTGTTTAAATTCTCTTGTGGTTGTTTGCACGTTTTGTTCTTCCATGACTTCTGTTGCATTCACTATTATCCAGTGAAATAGTTGGTGTCAGAAGGGTTACTAGAAAGCAAGCCCTTAATGAATGGATTATGAACTGGCTGAGATGAGCTTTCCTAGTCATGGGGAGGCTAGATTGCCTTCCCACACCAGGTTAGTGGAATCTATATGCGTGGTTTAAATGGTGCTCTAGGAAGCATCTTGCAATCATATGCTCAAAAGAACAGCAATGAAAAAGAATTTTAAGTCTGCTCTACTGGGATACTGACGCTTTAGCAATGAAATTTTAATTAAACCAGTAGTTTGTTTTTTAAAATCTCCTGGGATGGGGCACAGTAGGGGAAGTTTAGGAGACACTGGAGGGATGAGGGAGGGGCAGAGATGATCAAAATATTTTGATGTATGTATGAAATTCTCAAATAAATAAAAGTATATCCAGATTCTCCTCCAATCTATCTAACATTTTCTCAAGCTCATCTAAGAATATTTAGCAGGAAAAATTCAGTTCTTATTTCTTTCTATTCTCTCATCTCATTATGCTGAAGATTTGGCATTTTCTTGTATGTATCTTCTAGTCAGGAATTTTTCTCTTCATCTGTATCTAAACAGATATGTTTACACTAAGTTTTAATTTCCTGATTTTTTTCTCTTTTGATTTACCTTGCACAGTGCTTAACATTGTCAACATGACAGGATCTAGAATCACCTAAGAGAGAAAGCACTGGGTACACCAGTGAAAGAGACTGGGTTCATCAAGATGGGAAGACCCACTATGAATGAAGATAGCACTATTCCTTGGGCTGGGGTCTTTCTGCTTCTTACAGCTGCCCCACACACCCACCATCATGATTTCCATACTATGATGAACTAGATATTCATATTGGGAGCTAAAATAAACCCTTTTGTATAGCAGTTTCTTCTGAGTCAAAGGATTTCCTGGGCAGGGGAGGGTGTCATGAAGCTTGGAGGTAAACCAAAGGTCACACATCTGGAAGAACAGAAACTTAGAAGATTGTTGAGGGACCCTCGCCAGCAGTATAAAATAGAGTAAACAGCTGGTGGGGAAAGAGACCCTGAGCAGCCCAACTTCAGAAAGAAGAGGTCCTCAGACAGTTGAGCTCCTTGCCAGGTGTGTGGAGAGCTCTAAGGTTGTAGCTGTCATGAGTGGGCACCCATTTGGGTGATACAGCTGCTTTTGACTCATCCCTGTTCCCTGTAAGTAACCCTTCACCCAGTCTCCTGTTAGTAATCCCAGTGAAAACTCACTAGGTCACCAAGTTGGACATTGGTACAGTTGTTACTTGGATTTGTCACGAGCTCCCCATCTGTAGTGAGAGGATGTGTGCGTTGCATTTTCCCAAGAAAAGCCTGTCACATCACAAATCCACACTTCCTTAAGTCGCATTTGTCAGATAATTTGTCACAGTGCTATGAAGATTAACTAGTGCAGCTTGGCATCATTTTCCATGTTTTCTTCTTCTATGCCCTGAACATGCCTGTGTTGTTCTTCTCCCCCAACACTGACCGTGTGTGTGTGTGTGTGTGTGTGTGTGTGTGTGTGTGTGTGTGTGTAACCATGTAAAAGATTCTATAACTTGTAATTACTGTTTTTACCACATGGTTTATCAAGCTAATTTCCCCACCATTTTAATGATGCATTGCTCTTACTGCTCTTAAATAATTTAAAGTATTAGTAAAGTATTACTTTAAGTGGATTGGCAGGGGGAGGGGAGGTGCTGTGACCTAGACTGTGGAAAAGATCCTCCAAAAGCATTTGCATTCCTTTCTTTCTGTGCTCTAGGACCATGGTCAGAACTTTTACACTATGTCATATTCAGCTTTAGTATAGGAAGTTTCAGGTTCCCCAATGTGGAATGTTTGGAGGTTAATGGGCTTCTCTTTTACCATTAAATACAATGTGGTTTACATTTGGATGTGGGCCAGTCCTACACTAGAGCTTCATTTTTTTACTGTCTGTTTTGGGAGTCTTTACCAAATGCCAGAGTAAAGTCCATGCTTCATGTAGTAGGAAGAGAACAAACAAAAACATAAACAATATAAAATGCCAATGTTACCACAGAAGCATTTTCAGATGGCTCTTTTACCAGAATTGATGTGGAGGCCATATGTTTAGAAAAAGCTAGAAAAACTATTTCAGTGACACAAAGGATGCAAGCCTAGACTCTTCTGGAAACAGAAAAGAGTTCAAGAAAGCTATAAGACAATGCTGTGATCTACACAAGAGGATGTAAGGATAGAGTGGAAAGGTCGGAGGCAGTGAGACCATGAAAGCCTCTTAGAACCTTTGGGAATTATATACCTTCCTTCCTTAAAATATTGACTTCTACAGTGGGAATATGCATTTGCTATATGTTAAATGATGCTTTCTGACTGATGATTTCAAACATTGGGGGAATGTGTAGTTAATAGGCATTCATTATAAGAAAAGCTGATGATTTCTGGTTTAATGCTTCTTTTGGTTCTTGAGTGAAAAGTAACACCTTTAAAAAGGTGTTTCCAATTCATCAAGAAGAGTGAGTGTCTATATCCATTTGCATAAATAGACAACTAGACACAGAAGTAGACAGGTACTACAGAAAAGAGGTTCCACATCACAGATGACAGCACAGTCATAGTCACAGTACAAGATGATGTGAGGCTAGAGTATTTCCTGCAGCAGCATCGACAAGCATTTAAGACAACTCAGTATTGCCAAGAGAGCGACTCTGACAATCTGGTGTGGCCATTAGAAATGAGGCTGATAGATCCTGAGATACAGAAGAATGTAGCAATTTGTGCATCGCTGTATGGTGTACATATACTTTTATTATAAGCCCTTTTACACCTTGCATTTTCTATTTTATTAATACATTACTCATAAGCTTAGAGATATGATCATATCATTTCTGTCCTTATCTATGCAGTTGAGGAATGTGAGGAGAACAGTATTATAATATTGGTGTTAGGTTAATCAGATTATGGAGTCTTATTTTAAATATTATCTTTAATGTTTTATTATTTACTATGAAAATGGAGGAAATCAACACTTAAAAATACATTATTGCTTATGATAGAAAAGTTGTAAATTTCTAAAAGGTAGAGAAAATTTCTGAAAATTTAAATGACCAAGTCTTCCAATACACTGTCACCACTTTGACATTTTTCTGTTTCTTTATGCATCATGTTCTTGTGAATTTACACATGCTCTACTTAAAAATAAACAGATTCACATTTACATATGTTTTAGAAAAGAAAGTCATTTCCAGACTATATGTATTTTCATGCATACGAAGAATTTAAATGGTAAAATTCACACTAAAACATAGCACGCAATTAAAATTAATCAATAGGTGAGTACATTTCTCAACTCTCATTAGAAAAACTATTTGAAGTAGATGATGATTGCTGTAGAGACCCACACCTGGCCAAGAATAAAAGAATAAGAGACTTCAGAATGTTTGTCCCTAAAGCAAACACACACACACATCATCATCATCATCATCATCATCATCATCATCATCATCACTTCTTCCTCCAAAGTCTCAGGGATCATTACAGAAGATGGGGCATAAAAAAATATAAGTGACAGAGGCGATGGATGACTAAAAGGAAACAGTGTCTTCTGGACTTGTAGCTGCATATATAAACTCACAATCGTGACAGTATGCACAAGACCTGTCAAGCCCAAGTCAGACTAAATCCCAGCATAGAGAAGAATGTTGAGCATGAAGTCTTACCCTTAGCCAAGGAACTATTGTCAATTGTTAGCCACTAGGAGGGAGGACTGACTCTCTCTCTCTCTCTCTCTCTATCTATCTCTCTCTCTCTCTCTCTCTCTCTCTCTGTGTGTGTGTGTGTGTGTGTGTGTGTGTGTGTGTGTGTGTGTGTGTGTGTGTGTGTGTTAGGGACTAGGAGAGGCAATTGTGTATCCTGCTCTATCACTCTCCCTTATTCCCTTCAGTTAGGGTCTCTCACTGAATCCAGAGCTTGGTTGGATGACAGCAAGTCCAAGAGATTCTTTTCTCTCTGCCTCCCACAGTGCTGAGATTATAGACATGCCCAACTTTTTTAATGTAAGTGCTGGAGAATTGAACTCAGGTCCTCATACTTATAGAGTAAGCACTCTTAACTACTGATCCATCTGCCCAACCTCTGAAATGCCTTTTATAATCCTTCATTCTTGATGTATTTTTCAAATGTAGAACTTTATATATCTGTAAATCCACACATCATAAGCACACTGTTCAACAAATATAACAAGATAGTCCCACTTGTGTAATCACTACCTTGTTCAATACATAAGACAGTAACAGCACTAATGACAGCTTATTATACTGGTATGGATGTGGAGTAAGGGGAACACTCCTCCATTGTTGGTGGGAGTGCAAACTTGTACAGCTACTTTGGAAATCAGTATGGCAGTTTCTCAGAAAATTGGGAATTGATCTACCTCAAGATCCAGCTATACTATTCTTGGGCATATACTCAAAGGATGCTCAATCATTCCACAAGGACACTTGCTCAGCTATGTTCATAGCAGCATTATTCATAATAGCCAGAATCTGGAAACAACCTAGATGCCCCTGAACCAAAGAATGGATAAAGAAAATGTGGTACATTTATACAATGGAATGTTACTCAGCTGCTAAAAACAATGACATCAAGAAATTTGAAGGCAAATAGATGGAACTAGAAAAAAACATATTGAGTAAGGTGTCCCAGATCCAGAAAGACTAACATGGAATGTACTCACTCATAAGTGGATATTAGTTATAAAGTAAAGGATAAACATGCTACTATCCACAGCCCCAGAGAGGCTAGTTAACAAGTAGGGTTCAGAGGGGGGATAAAGATGCATGGATTTCCCTGGGAAGGGGAAATAGAAGAGATCTTCTGGGTAGACTGGGAGCCGGCAGGGATGGGAACATGAGTGATTGGGTTAGGGAGTGGGTGGAGGCGAAGAGTAATTAAAGAGACATCTTGATGGGGGCATATTTTGGGGTCAGGCAGAAACCTACTTCAAGGCAAACTCCCACTAATCTACAAGGGTGACCCCAGCTAAGACTCCTAGCAATAGTAGATATATATCCTGAACTGGCCTTCTCCTGTAATCAAATTGGTAATTTCCCCATTTGTCATCAGAGAGACTTCTTCCAGTGACTGATGGAAACAGGTACAGAGATCCACAGCCAAGAACTGGGCCAACCTCAGGGAATCCTGTTGAAGAGAGGGAGGAGGGATTGTATGAGCCATGGCAGACAAGGTCATCACAAGAGAACTCACAGAAACAACTAACCTGGACTCATAGAAGTTCATGGACTCTGGACCAATAGCTAGGTAGCCTGCATGGGACTGACTTAGGCCCTCTACATATGTGAGACAGTTCTGTAGCTTGATCTACTTGTGGGACTCCTAGTGGTGGAAGCAGGGTCTGTCCGTAATGCTTTGACTGGCTTCCAGAAACCTATTCCTCATATTGGGTTTTCTTGCTCAGTCTTAATACAAGTAGAGGAACTTATTTCCTACCTCAACTTGATATGCCATGCTTTGCTGATACCCATGGGAGGCCTACCCCTTTCTGAACAGAAAGAGAAGAGTGGGTTGAGGAGGGAAGTGGGAGAGAGAATGGAAGGAGAAGAGGAGGAACAGACATGCAGGAGGAGAGGTAAAAATCACAAGTCACCTGACAGCATGCAGATGAATAGAAATGGGTTAATTTAAGTTGTAAGAGCTAGTGGTACAATCCTAAGTTATTGCCAAGCTTTCATAATTAAAAATAGGTCTCCATGGTCATGATTTGGGAGCTGGCTGGTGGAACAGATAAAGGCTCACTACAATCTTAATTGTTATAAATTAGCTTTGCCTGGTTTGTTTTTTAAAGTTTATATACCTGAAATACTGCATGAATTTTAAAACATGGCTTATTTTGTCAAAATTATCTTCTTGTGGTTCATGGGGCTGTTACCTACACCAGTATTTTGTTCATTTCCATGTAATACAAATATCCTGAGTCTCTTACGCTTGTGTTGCATACAAATAAGCTCACTTTAAGTAAAAAGTAACCTAGGTTGAAATGCTTTAATTTACCTAAGCTATTGATTGCCACCATTTAAGAACACAGATGCTGATGCATCAGTTGTTTGATCTTAATTGTGAGGCTGACTATGAATTATGATTGACCAATACTGCCGGGCATCATGAGCAAACATCATACACTGTCATTAGCCAAGAAACAACCCAAATTCAAAGCACTTCCTACTGAACGTGAATTGCTTTTCTGCTATCATAAATTCAAAAAAAAATGTAAGTCACAGCACTGTAAATCAGAGACCATCTATATGTCACTGTGCTGTGGGATGCTCTGCATGGCAAATGTGTTGCTCTGATTGGTCAATAAATAAATCACTGATTGGCCAGTGGCTAGGCAGGAAGTATAGGCGGAACAAGGAGGAGAATAAAGCTGGGAAGTGGAAGGCTGAGTCAGAGAGACACTGCCAGCCGCCACGATGACAAACAGCATGTGAAGATGCCGGTAAGCCACGAGCCATGTGGCAAGGTATAGATTTATAGAAATGGATTAATTTAAGCTATGAGAACAGTTAGCAAGAAGCCTGCCACGGCCATACAGTTTGTAACCAACATAAGTCTCTGTGTTTACTTGGTTGCATCTGAGCAGCTGTGGGACTGGCAGGTGAGAGAGATTTGTCCTGACTGTGGGCCAGGCAGGAAAACTCTAACTACAAATGGCGCCCAAAGTGGTGGCAAGAGTTTCCACCTAAAACCTGAGAAAAAAAAAGATTCTAAAACGGAGCTAAAAACAGTTCCTAGTTGTCTCTTTCAAGTTAGCGGCAGCCTGCGTGTTTGAGCTACTATGGCGGGTTCCTGGTGTGCACGCTCAACCTGCAGTATGGTGGGAATGAGGCCTCTACAGGTGGCACATTAAGCTGGGCCTCTGCAAGATCCACGCTAGGCCCCAGGTGGAGCTCTGGGAGTCCAACTAGTGAGAAAGAGGAGGATTTATATGAACGAGAATTGTTGAGACCAAGGTTGGATAAAGCATAGGGACAAATAGCCAAATGAATGGAAACACATGAACTATGAACCAATGGCTGAGGGGTCACCAACTAGATCAGGCCCTCTGAATGGGTGAGACAGTTGATTGGCTTGATTTGTTTGGGAGGCATCCAGGCAGTGGGACCGGGTCCTGTGCTCATTGCATGAGTCGGCTGTTTGAAACCTGGGGCCTATGCAGGGTCACTTGGCTCAGCCTGGGAGGAGGGGACTGGACCTGCCTGGACTGAGTCTACCAGGTTGATCTCAGTCTGTGGGGGAGGCTTTGCCCTGGAGGAGGTGGGAATGGGGGGTGGGCTGGGGGGAAGGTGAGGGAGGCGGGAGGGGGGGGAAGGGAATCAGTGGCTGATATGTGGAACTGAATTGTATTGCAAAATAAAAAAAAAAGAAAGAAAGAAAGGAAAAAAAAAGCTGGGCCTCTGCAAGTGGCACATTAAGCTGCATGGTGGATTTAGCCTTTGCTAGTACAAAACAAAACAAAAAAAGGTTTCTGGGCTACACGCTGCTTGGATAAAAGCATAGACCCACTATTTCTAAGAGTTGATGGCTCCCAGAGCTGGCGGAAAATGTACCACTGCCATGTTGGGAAGCTGAAGTGGGCAGAGCCAGCAGCCACAGCCCCGTTTCAGTCTTGGAATGCTGCAGTTTAAAGCAATAGGCTCAAGGTAATATAAAAAATAAGCCACATAAAGATGGCTACCACACAGAGAATCTGGATTATGTTCTCTTTGATATTTGTAACTGAAGAAAAACATTTGATTGTAAAAGCTGTTGAGTTATGCCAAAATGTATATTTTAAAGGTACCTTGACTTCAAAATCTGGATGTAAGGATATGTTGCCTTGGAAAGGAGGCTCTGCTTTTGTTCCCACAGAAAGCCAGAGGCTATGGATTTGTTCCAGATTAAGATACATCAGGTTTGACCAGCCAAGACCCCCTGAAAGGTCTCCGATGACACCAATACCCAGATGATCCAACATCCAGAATGGTTTGATGGCAACTGGCTCAGACAATACAGCCTCATGGACTATTTCATGATCCTAAAATTTTCTTTGTATCCCCATAAGATACAGCGCCCCCCTACAGCAGGAAGTAGTAAGGGAAGCTACGCCCAAATTCCCAAATTATATGTAATTTTACTTTGTTAAGGTTAAAACTTTCCTTTTTGAAAAAAAAAGGGGGGGAGTTGAAGTGCTGTGGGATGTTCTGTATGTCAAGTGTGTTGCTGATTGGTCAATAAATAAATCACTGATTGGCCAGTGGCTAGGCAGGAAGTATAGGCAGGACAAGGAGGAGAACAAAGCTGGGAAGTGGAAGGCTGAGTCACAGAGACACTGCCAGCCACCGCCATGACAAACAGCATGTGAAGATGCCGGTAAGCCACGAGCCACGTGGCAAGGTATAGATTTATAGAAATGGATTAATTTAAGCTGTAAGAACAGTTAGCAAGAAGCCTGTCACGTCTATACAGTTTGTAACCAATATAAGTCTCTATGTTTACTTGGTTGGGTCTGAGCGGCTGTGGGACTGGCAGGTGAGAGAGATTTGTCCTGACTGTGGGCCAGGCAGGAAAACTCTAGCTACATCACTGTGTGAATGCCACATCTAAAATTAAATGCACCTCACTGTGGATGGCCATTTAGATCATCTTCACTTGGGAGAAGCTACTAATAATGCTCCTACAAATGTTTTGGTTTATCATTTGATACACATATGCATGCACTACTTTTGGACAAATGCCTAAATGGAAACGCTGGATTATAATACAGGTATATATCTATAATGAGACCTGGGCTTGCCTGGTTGTCTAGGCTGACTGGTCAATGGGCCCAGCATCTACTTATCTCTGCCTTCCCAGGGCTGAAATTACAAATGTCCACCAGTGGACCCAGCTGTTCTACATGGGTTCTGAGAACTGAACTCTGGTCATCATGCTTGGTAAGCAAGCACTTGACTAACTAAGCTACCTGTCCAGCCCTGCCTTTTAATTTTTGTACTAGGGGTTTTATTGATTACTCATTGCCAATACTGGAGCATTTTGGATTTGACCATATACTTAATTGTATTGGTAAACTTTATATTCTTATGTTTGCATGTTAAATTATTACATTGACAAGTCTTTCCTTGATTTTAGAACTAACTCCCTTTAGAATATCTTGTAAAGCAAGCCTAGTGATGTTGTATCTCTCAGTTTTTTTTTTCTTTTTTTACCTGAGAAAGTCTTTATCACACTTCACATTTTAAAAGACAAAGTTCCTGGGTATAGTATTCTTGTTTGACAATTTTTCCCTTTCAGCGTGTTGAAGATATCATGGCAATCCTTAGTTGCATGCAAGGCTTCTACTGAAAAATCTATTAAGTTTAGGTTGCTTTGTATGTGGGAATTAATTTCCCCTTGTTTTCAAAACTCTCTAACCATTAACTATTTGATGATGATGATGATGCTGAGTGTGTGTCCTTGCAGGTTCCTCTTATTTGATGCCATTTGAAATTTTTGAGTCTGGAATTCTATTTACTCCCTCAAGATTAGGAAGTTTTCTGCCATATTTCTTCAAATGCATTCTTTCTCCTCCTCCTGGTTACCCTATCCTATTTCTGTAACATTAATAATTAGCATGTTATATTTGGTAGTATACCATAAGGCCCCCCCAAACTACCCTGTGTTTTCTTTTCACTCTTCAAAGTGCATTATTTATGGTGGCCTACCTATAAGTTCACTTGCCATTTTGTCTGTCTGATGTAGTCTACTATTAAACTCCTCTGTTGACAACTGAACCATACTAGTGGGAACTTGTGAACTTTAGACCAACAGCTGTGGATCCTGCATAGGACCAGACTAGGCCCTCTGCATGAGGGGGACAGTTGTGTGACTTGGTATGTTGAGGGGCCCCTGGCAGTGGGATCAAGATCTACCCTTGGTGCATGAGCTGGCTTTTTGGAGCCCAATCCCTATGGTGGGATGCCTTGTTCAGGCTTGATGCAGTAGGGAGGGGTTTGGTCCTGCCTCAACTGAATGTATCAGGCTTTGCTGATTCCTCATGGGAAGCCTTACTTTTTTGTAGGAAGGGGTGGGCGGTGGAAGCAAGGTTGGGGTGGGACGTGGGAGGAGGGATGAGAGGTATCTATGGTTGATATATAAAATGAATT